CATCGCTTTTTTCTGCAGTTGATGCATATGCTTGTATGATATTTAAATTGATATGTTGTCCAGCTAGTTGTATCATTACCAGTCTTTCAAAAAATGGTGTAAAATGGATAGTATATTTTTCCAGGTCTTTATGGATGATGAGTGCTGCGCCGTAAGTTTGGGGCTTGTTGCCTTCACCATCGGAGCAAAATACCATATGATCTTCTGAGACGAATTGTTTTATTCCTGGCCATTTCGTTTTACTGATACCAAGTATTTTAATGTTCAATCGGTCCATTTCTTTGATTCCGTTTGCTAATTTGTCAGCTGATAATAGGCTTCCAACATTCCAGGTTGCAATTTTAAAATTATTCCATTTAGCAAGTGCGGAGATTCTTAGTACCCCTGTCCCATTTAAGGGACACCGTGACTCATGGCTATTTTGTTTGATTTTACTTGCCATACGGTATAATACATTGATTTTCATGGGAGGAAATAATTCAGATAGTTTCCCGTTGCTTTTCTGAATAGCAGAGCCCATCTTCGTCAATGGCATAAGCCATTGCCCATCCGACACTACATCGAAGTGAAGGGTTGAATTTTGTCGGACAATGAATAATCAATAGAAAAAAACCCAAATCGATCTATGTTTCTGAAAGTACTCAAGTTTTTTCTTAATACATATAATTAGCTACATTGGATATGAATGTTTTGTATGGAGGATATGCTCTTTACAGATTGATGTGTATGCATATGCTACCTCTTCATTGACATAGAGAGAAAAAAACTCGTCTTATTTACTCGGATATTTAGAAATCGAGATATAAATTAGTCGATTTTTACATCCGGAACCGCAAATGAATCGAACCCAATGTCATTTGTACAAAACAAAGACAAACCAAATCAAACTCGACCTAACAACACTCGGTTTGATTCGGTCTCTGTTTCGCGTTAGTATAAAATTATTTTTATTTGTATCAGTAGTTGACAATATTTATATATTCGTCTTACGATGATTTCTTGATAGCAATCGTTCACTTAAATCTTTTGAGTAAGTAAATAATAATCAGTTCTGTGTAATTCGTTTTAATGACTATACAAATTCTTTTTTTTTCGATCTTAGAAAGTGTTGAGTGAGAAACATGCGCAACATCTTCATTGATCTTGAACAATTTCAAATTGCAAACATAAACGATTCGGTACCGCAAAGGACGGGAACATTTTTTATAAGTTTAAAGTAAGATTTAAAAATCTATTTTAAATTATTTGATGAATTCTTTCAGATATTCTCTTTCAATTATGTAAATTGACGTGTCCAATAGTGAGTTCGACAAAATTTCATATTGTGCAAGTAATTATTCAACACTACCACCTGTTGGACAATAATATGCACTGTCGAATCAATTGAATATTAAACTTGATTATACAGCAACTTCAATAGCATATCAATGAATAATTTACTTTCCAGTATATCAATAATATTTCTTTAATGAACATTCATCGACTGACAAATATCATACTAATGTTGATATTTATCTTTAATTTTATTTAAAAAGAGAATCGTTGGAGTAAGAATTTTAAGCATCTGTTTTGTTTGATTAACTTTCTTATGAGAAAATATTTAGGGCAATGAAAATGAAGACAATTTAATGTTTTTAAATTACTATCAATCTCACCGATCATTTTCACCGTCATTTTCTTTATCAAAAAGCAAATGACATATTCAAGACTCGATTTTTTTTGTCATAAAATAGAAAAAATGATACATTGATCTCTGTCAAAGTGAAAAATAATTATTATGTTTAATTTCATTCTTGAATGATCGATTCAAAGTTCTTATTCTGTCACGTGATGATCTCGAAAACAGTGCATCGTCTGATGTTCACTGAAAAGTCATTAGAGATGTTGAGATTTGAATAGGTTACAAATTTTGTTCGATTTTCTGTATGATATTTCGTTCATCCAAAGTAAAATCCTAATATTATAAATAATCTATGGATTCTATTTTCATTATGTCGATAGAATGAAATGAAACCTGCGTTAATCCTAGCAATGATAAATTATCGCTAGCAGTAATGATAATCCATCGATAGATAGTTGTTGACATCTTGTTTTTTATTAATTGTCAGAACTCTATACGGAACTACTAGCAATACCGTTTATTATGGTTACGCAGAAAACAAACAAATGGAAAATAATGAATGCGTTGCGAAGCACAGTAATTATCCGCTTCTTCCCGAGTTTTCTTTTCTTCTCTTTTTACTTTCTGTTTTTAATGCAATGCAAAGCACGACAATTATGTAGCCCTTCACGAAGTTTCTTTTCTTTTTATTTTTTTTAATGCAGTACGAAGCACAGCATTTATGTGTTCTTTCACGAGTTCTTTTTCACTTTCTCGACGTACATCTACAAAGTTACCGTTTTCTATTGAGATGACCTTGATAACGGAAGTTGAGAAAATACTCATTCACATGTAAGATGAAAGTATCAAGATCGCACCACTACCATTTTTTTCCAATTCTTTTCAGGACATTCGGTTTGCTTACAAATAGTGTCCCGAATAGAGAAACTTTTTCAGGATTTTGATTTTTTTTTTCAATATAAAATAGCTGTGAGTGCGACTGATTATAGGTAGTGAATCATATAGATTATTCAACGATCAGTCGATAGTGTTCATTAGTAACATGTTGACAAGCATTAATAGAGTTCTCATAGTAATGAATTTTACAATGGTTACTTTTCACGTTGTTCCTGACATTGATCCGCTAATTGAAGAAAAGATAACTTTTTCGATTTATGATGACAAAAAAAATTTTTGACTCCAGTAAAACGTAAATATCTTTAGAGGAAGAGCGAGTTGCGATACAATCCAAGAACGATTTTTCGTTTTTTTTTCGAAAAATGATCTTCGCGTTTCGCACTGTATCTTGTATTCGAGTGAAAATTGAATACCATCTAGTTTAGTAAGGTGTAGACAATTTGAACTCTAAGTAAAACGTTTTTCTTTCATCTTTTTTACGCATGGTTTGATAGAGTATGACCTACTGCTTAGAAAACCAATTCCTAGCGTTAATGGATGCTCCTTTCAAGCCAGAAAAAAACCAAAACTTGTAAGATGTCTTCTTTTTTAAAAACATATTTCTTTCGATATGTCCACAATTTTCTACTTCGCTCTTCTTGGCGACTTCTGAAAGTATTATTTTCAGATTCAGTATCAAAAACCGACTATGATTGATGGTTCTAAACAAAAATACACTTTGACATACACACCAATTTAATTGCATAAATTTTTCCAAGAAAATTCTCTTGTTTTTCTAGTTATTGATCTGACGTTTGTTTTGAGTTTAACTCGTTCTTTTTTGAGAAAAATGAAAGATAGCGTTATAGACAATACTACATATTTCTTTGATTTCATGCTTTTCTCCGGAATGGTTGAATGACACCCAAAACGAACTTCAGATTAATAAACACAAAATAACAAAAGGATTTTTTGGGAAAATTTTATGGAATTAAAGTGCAGTTTCTTTCAAACCACGAGACTACGTATCAGCACAGGCAAGATGTTAAATTGACTTTAAATCCAAAAGTCTTTTGATGGTGGTCCCTCAAATTGTATCCATTACACTGCTTATAAGTCGTTGTTGTAAATCAATCTATTTTTCTTTTTTGTTTATCGATGAGAACAAGTATTTTATCTCGTTCGATTCATCGTAATACCAGTCAAAAAAGTACTAATTACTTTTCTTTTTATTTTGTTCTCCTGCTGTGAAATCGTACTTACCTGTTAACCGGCATTCAATAATTTTCGAATTCAAATCAGACTTTTATCCGTGAAACAAATACAGATTCCAAATCAGCACAAAAAAGCTGAGTCAAATGAAGAATCTTTCGAGTCGATTTGACAACTTTCATTTTTTCAGGTTTTACCTAAAACACTGCAATTTATGTATCACCATAAAAAATGAAATTTGTCAAATTGATTTGAGAGATACCTCATTTGACTCAGTTGTTTGTACTAATTCCGAATCTGTATCTGTTTTTTCAGATAAAAGTTTGATTTGAATTCGAAAATCATTGAATACCAGTTAAAAATCTATGCTATTCTAGTAAATATAATTTCTCAACAAGAAAACAAAATAAAAAGAAAAGTGACGAGTACTCTTGTGTGACTGCTGTTACAATAAATTGAGTGTGATAAAATATTTGATGTCCTCACTTAACCAAAACAACTAAACTAGTTTACGAAAATGACTTGTGAGCATTGCTATGAGCACGTTTCAAAGCACCATTATCAAAAGGTTCTGTGATTTAAAATTGATTTAAGATCTTACCTATACTCAGTTTTTAATGCCGAGTCTAAAAATAGTACCTTCAGAAGTTGATAAGAAGATCGAAGCACAAAAGTTTTTGCACATTTTGGAAGATATGTGTTTTTTTAGAACAATGACACTTTCGAAGTTTTTTATTTTTTCCGATCTGAAACGAACATCTGTTAACGTTAAGAACTAATTTTTCATGATTAGCAGTCCACGTTCTATCAAGAAGTCTGTAAAAAACACGACAAAAAATTTTTTACTCGAAGTTTCACTTGCCGATCCTCATTAAAATACCACATATTAAGAAAGTTGTTTTGATGCATATTTACATAAAACATGTTCGTTTTTCTTCATGAATAAAATAAGTAAATAAGAGTGAAAGGAATGTTACATTCATTAACGATGAATAATCGTCAATGGAAAAAAAAAAGTAAATTGATTTGTTACTTTAGAATAATCAGAGCTTTTCTTTTCACATATTTAACTAATCATACTGACTATAAGTACATAACATCAAGGATATGCCATTAAGAGCTATTATATGAATATTAAATATTTTATTATCATAGAACGAAAAAAAAACTACCCCTCATATTCACCCGGTGGTAACCAATATATATATATAAACATCGTTGTTTTTTATTCGTATAGATACTTACAATTCGTTTTATTAACATTCAACAACATTGACAGATTCGCACTAAGATGGATCGAAACTTTCACCCATTAAAAGGCGATGATCATGAACTTTATGGACGAGTAAACTATATTTAGTTAATTCTATTTTTTCCTATGATTAGTGTATCTATTTTTTGTTTGATAGCATGCGAAAGGTATTGAAAAGAAAGTACGTGAAACATTTCCATCGATTCCATCTAATTTTGTATTGAAACCAGTAACTATTCGCAAAACACATGGATGCGGTATGTTTTACGATTTTATGGTAAGTGATAATTGACATTCCAAATGGATTGAAGAATGATTCATTTCTTCTTTTTAAATTATATAGATTGCTTTACCTGATGGTAAATTTGCGAAAGTTTCATTTCATTCAGGTGGTCATCCAATACAACGAGCTCCTGGTGAACCAGAACCAGAGGAACATTATAACGTTGATGAAACGCCAACGTCATCAGAATACGAGTGAACAATTTACATTTGATATTAAAGAACTTGTTTTCTGAATATTTATTGATCAGAAAATATTTTACCTATATTATAATTTATATTTAATCACCCTTAAAAAAAAACTTCCTATTTTCTTAATATTATATATTGAATAAAATAATGTAGCTATAGAAAATTGTGTTCGACAATTAATAGAAGTTGAGTTTGATTATAATAATAGAACCATTATTCGATTTGGTTTTGCTTTTCTTATTCAGAAATGGAACGAAAACTTTGATTGAGATAAAGCATTTTAAAAAGTATCCGATATCATGTACTAATATGATCAAAATCTAATCATTCATTATTCTCATTATATGTACGACTTTAAAAATTAATTTTATTCATGTTCTTAAAAATTTGTTAAATATCATTTTCGTACAGAAGCAATGGATAGAGAAAAAGAAAGGTTTACTCCATAAACGATTAATAATCAGTACAAAGAATAACTCAAATTCTATTTTGTTAAGTATTTTCACATATATCTTTGCTTTTTATTCGTACACTTTACGAATCACAGATGGAATAGCTCATAACAGAAAACATCACAGGATGGTTTGCTTCATCCTGGCACGACAATGGATCCTTCTGCGTCCGGCCCGCAGGATGATCTTTTCATTGGATTCTTGACAAGAATAAAAACTTGTCTATATATAAGGTACGATATCGAATATCATAGACATACTGTTTATACAAAAATCATTCACAATTTTACTAATTAGTTATAGTACTCGCGTAGTGCTAACGATCTGCCAAGGATGAGAGATTTATAACATGTTCGAAACTAAAATAATCAAGTGTCTTCGGGAAATCTGTTGGTATTTATGAACATATTTCATAAAGACACTTGCTTATTTTAGATTCGAACATGTCGTAGACCTACGTAGGCTATCTTAGGTCAGGATGCGAGTATATCCTGGAAATATTCGCCATAAGACTTTAATCAAGTTTACTTGAATTGATACATATGTTGTTTGTTGTCAAAATATAATAAGAATATTGACATACGACATTAACTATGTTCGTATAAACATATATAAAACAAGATAATATCAGAAAGATCACACACAGAAAAAATAGAAAAATTCATGATGGTGTCGGACATCTTGTCATTTGCAGTCTTGTGTATTTTCCATTGAAGTTGAATTTAAAGTTCTATTCTTCTAACTCAAGATTATATACGCAAAAACACACCTTTGTTATTCTTATCTTCTGAGAGAATGTGCGTTATCATTTGTTGTGTAAATTACGACAACAACATAGAAAAATCTTTGTTTGCAATATTTACACAATATTGTCATTGAAATAACATTCTACATTTAATCTTTGAATTAGACAAATACAATTTACGTTCCATAGAATAAGTTGTCTGAAAAAATATAAAAGTTTATCAGTTAAAATCTTAAACACCTCGAGCAATTACTAACAACAAGACTACTTTGTGATAAAGTGTAAGGTTTTATCTGTTTGCCGATGTTTATTCATTAAACTTTTGGTTTTTATATGAATAGATAAAAAAGAAGAAATGCATTTTTCTAACTTATGTATATCATCGATAATATCAGTCGATCGGCTGAGCACCCACCGCTACCAAAAGAAAAACTTGATAATAGAGTTATCAAAGTTTTTGGGTCTACAAAATTGTTTTTCGAATGTCTCTGTTACATTTCTTTTGTCAGCATGTTCTCTGCCGTTATTTTCTTCATTTCCTACTTGAACTTCAAAATTAAGAAAATCTTTTAAAAAATTCTCGTGAATGCTGCCGATGAAAGAAGAAAGAACTCACACTAAATTCGATCATTACTGCCGATCTATGTCTCGACTTAAGCTTCAAAATAAAAATAATATCAATTACATATTATAATCACATTTTCTATTATGCAATGTTATTTGATGGTTATTTATTGTAGCAGGTTTTAGTTAAGATTGAAGCAAGAGATAAATAGTCTAAAATCATAAGTGTCATATTTGTCAAGAGAGCAACTAAAATCAATTATTTCATAATTTCTAGTTTGAGTTTTTGATGTTAAATTTATTTAATTTTTACTTCACGACATTCCACAATAAGTTTTCAACTTTTTATCTCTTGATCTATCTTTACATACATAAAAATGTAAGCACAACAGTCAAGAAAAGACAATGTGAAAATTGAAAAACAGATTTGATAGTACTAGCACTTGACGGTGTACTGATGACTATTG